TAACTGGTTTACTATGATACATTAGCACAGTTTTGGCTATGATTTCTGTAGCAATAATTCAATTTATATGTTAAATATTGGGCATCATTTATAACCTATTGGACAGCTAGATTCTGTTATGCTGTTTGCAATCAAACTTCATATTGTTATAAATGTTTTCCTCTTAGGTAAGAGAAATTGTGCTGATTTAATTAGTATGTGTTATTGTGTTGTGTGTCTTGATTTTGTATTATCTATATTATGTCATTGTAACAGGTATTTTAAAAAAAGATGTCTTGATGAATAATGAATGTTTTATAGTTTAAAGATTTCCTGGGAATATGTGCAGAAATATCCCAGCCAATCACGACTGCACTGTTCGCAGAAGATATTAGTTAAAATCCATGCTTTCTCTTGTTTTTTCCCCCAGGCGGAATTCAAAATAATGCTAATGATTTCCATGTCACGTAGCGCTTGGGACAAGATTATCTGAAAGAATCTTCTCTCTATCCTGAGTTTTAAGATCCTTTAAAGAGGATTTCTGCTTGTCCGGTCAGACCACCTGAAGCTGAGTTAGTGCCCTCCAGGAGCAATCCTTGCTAAAGGTGTTCTGGGGCTAGCAGGGTCAGCAATGATCTTTTACTGATCAGTAAAGCCATTTCTAACTTAACAGGCATTTGGCCCATATACTGAGATTCCATTTACTGACACTAACTGTTTCAGACAACTGTTGTCAACTCATTGTACTGGTGTTATCTGTTTTTATTTTATGTTTCGTATTTTATTACATTTTCTTATTTTCATCTGCATTGAGAACTATCTGGAGGTCTGGATTATGATGAGAAGGGGGTCTGGCTGCCTTCAGCTCCCCTTGCTGCTACTAACTAATTAGATGAAAATTCTGTTCTGGAGCATTTGGAAAGCTGATGCAAGTCAGAATCAATACGGGACTATATTAACAAAAAAACTGACCTCATGTGAGGTAGCTTCCTTTGTTCATAGCCTTCTCTCTGCCTTGCTTTAGAAAGCTATACAAAATTCAAACTCTTGTTTATATTTCTGTTTTGTTGTTTGATTATATTTTGTTTCTTTTTCTACTAGTAGGTTACTATTTTTCCTTTTATCTGTTTCTGATTTTTTGAGTATTTGAGTGCAACATTTCCCCCCATTAAGCCTTTTCCTTCATTTTTTTTCTCAACCAGCAAGCAGAAATCCATTTGCTTTATCTTGTATTGCATGTGCTATATTTTCTGTACTTTTAAACAGTAAATGATTATGATTATGGTATCTATCAGCTGTTGCTATTATTCTTCTAGAGTCAATTACTAAGTACAAACACCACTTCTAAAATCGAGTACAAATAAACTAAACGAGCAAATATAATAAAACAATATAAGCACAATAAAAAGCTGTAAAAGCAGCTGTACATTCCAGTAGAGCCAAAACAGCATTAAAATGGACTATTAAGTAGACAGAATGACATTCAAATAAGAAAAACTGTGCCAGATACCAACAGTCCACCATCAAAGTTAGAACCAGTTGAGGTTCCCTGAGGAGAGCATTTTGTATGTCTTCTCTCCAGCTATCACTAACATAGCTAAATCCAAATATGTTTCAGTCCAGATTTCTCACCCATCACTCAAATACTAGAATGAGGGCAGATGAAAGACAAGGAAGGAAAGGGCAGACACAAAATTAACACAGTTTCTCACAGTTGTGACAAAACACGGAAATGACATGTCTGGGTGGTCATATTGACAGGATAAACTGAAAACAGTTTTATTTGGAGGGTTTTTTTATAATTATTATTCTAGACAACCCAAGAGAATGGCAGAAAGAAATTAAGTAAAGGAACTTGGGACTCTGTCCATCTGCAAGATAAATCTCCGAATACAAAATGAATAGCAACAAATTTGGTAGGACAGGAGAAGGCAACACCACCACCACTGACTAAAAAATGAGCAGATCTGGCTGGGAGCATTGAAGAAAAAAAAACAACCCAGCACATCCTTATGAGCGGGGCATTGTGGGGCAATGCCTGTGTCTCCTTCTTTTTGGTCATATGTTTCAGACAATGGCTATTATTCAGGGGTTGGAAAGAATTCAGGAAGCCATGCTCTGCATGTCTTCCCCAATTTACTTCATTTTGTTACTGTGCTACAGCACTCTCTTCTGATACTGTATGAATTTTCTCTACTGAGGAATCCTGAACATTATTACTATTTTTTAGTTATAGTAGTGTAAGTGAGCAGCCTTATGGTGTGCTTGGATTATCAATATATTTATATCACCATCATTCTAAACTCATTGGCTTCCATGAATTTGTACTACAACCATCAAAAGTTTGGATAAATCCAAACCTAGTCCCTGCAATTAGAGGTATCTAGATAGTATAGAATGAGAACTGTGTACTTGTTCACATGCAACTGGTACATCTTATTCTGCTTGGTGAGGCACACATTCAGTTGGAATATGGAATATACAAAAAGGTTCCATTTTCCTTGTGTCATTTTTGAATGAATATTCATGCTATGCTGGTGCTGTATCACAAAAGTGGTTATAGAGGAGCTCTCTTATATCTGTAACAATCCCTTCATGAACAACCATATTCTACATACTGGGCTGGATCAAAACTGGATCATCCAGTTAGTATTCATTCCACTGTTCTCATTTATTTATATATTTATTTTATTTACTCAGATTTCTGTGCTGCTGCTCCTATCAGGAGACTCTGAGCTGCCTACAACCTGCTACAGTAACAGGATTAAACTCATAAATCCACAAGGAATAGAAGATACCTACAAAATACTGCTCCCACTATATTAAAAGGAGATCCCCATACCTCTGAGGTAGTTGAGCAGCCTAACTCATCCACAAATGCCCTCCAATGGAGCCAGGTTTCAGGGCTCTCCAAAAACTTAGCAGGGAAGGGGCAGTTCTGATATCTAGGAAAAAGTTGTTCCAGAGGAGGAAATCCACCCATGAGAAGCCTTAAAAATGGGATCCCTGAAGTAGACATTTCCCTGGCAGAAGAGCCCTTAGCATGCCTTCTCTCCTTGATCTCACTGGCTAGATATAGGCAGATTCTGAAATATACAATGTAACCAATGTAGGACTTCAGAGATGACAATGTCAGCCTTACCAGGTAGACCAAACAGGAAACACAACCAGATAAACTAATTCTACTTTATTGTAAAGCTATAGTAACAGAATCTTGCAACTCTGAAAGTACAATTCTCCCACCTTCACCTTTACAGCCCAAAAACTTAGGAAGGGTCCCTTCTGAGCCTTTTGCCCCGCCCACTATCCAGCTGCGGGCTATGCTCTCTTATCTGACCATTCCCTAGGCAGCATCTCTCTGCCCCATCTCCCAAGGTCTTTCCCACATACCATTACAGACAACCATCATCTTGAACTGCACTCAGAGCTAACAGGTAATCAACACAGCTCCCACAGTAGAGGTATAAACGAGTTCAATCCAAGGGATCCCAAGCTCATGATAAATTAACTCATGATAAATTAAGTCAGTTTCTGAACTTCCAGCCACTATTTTGGGACCATAAGCTTAAACCCATTTTCCCCCATCCAATCTCTAACAGTCTCTCGTTACTGAGAAAGGGACTCAACTGCATTTCTTCCTGTGCCAGGGATGGCAGTTCATATTGAGGATACCTCACCTGTGCCAATGAATCATCTCCCCTAATGGTTTCATGTAGATGTATTACGGAGGAAAGAGCTGAGCCACACCACAGAGGACTCAAAGATTCAACCTTTCCCTCCCCACCACTACTGACTGAAGCCAGCCAGTCAGGAAGTAGAACCTCTGCAACGTAGTCTCCCCACCCTCATTCCTTTCAGTTGGCTCAGAAGGATTCCATTGTTGACAGTCGTGAAGGCAGCGGGCTGGCCCAGAAAGATTCCATTGTTGACGGTACTGAAGAGAGCCAGCAGAACCAGGAGAGCTACACTCCCCTCCTCCCAGTCCTAACACTAACCCGTAATTCATTTTATGCACAAACTAAGATCCAGCAACAAGGCTGTAATTTTTGTGTGATGCTGATGACTTTTGCTTATTTTAAAATGTGTGGATATGATATTTAGAAGGCAATGAAAGCACTTCCATTTCCTCATATATCTTTCTATAATATGAACGAACACCTTCATATAGAAAATGTAGGGCTAAATCTAAGGATGCTTTTGTGTTACCATAAAGCACTTCTGCTTGTCTAAGCCATGACATTTTTTTTTTTTCTTACGCCTTCTAACTTCTACATTCCTTTGCTCTACAACATTATTTTTCTGTGGAGTCTCCCCTAACCTCAGGAACAAGTTGCAATGAAAAGGGAAGATCAGAGTTCAAGAAAAATTGGGCACAGAAGTTGGACGAGGGAAAGTTACCACTGGATACAACCCAGAGTCACTACATGGAATTTCAGATAGATGGTCAGTCAGCTTCTGTTTGCCTGGAAATGCAGGCTTTAATATTAATCCAGTTACATTGTAAACTTGCATAATCAAAATATTTTGCTCCCTAGAAGATCCTATGTGTTGTATTCTGCTTCTTTATTATAGCAAAGTATCTAATTTTTTGGTAAGCAACTTCCCACAGAGTAATACATTTTCATCTCTTTCTTTGTGTATACAGGTAGTCCTTGTTTAGCAACCACAACTGAGAATGGCAACTCAGCCGTTAAGCAAAGCAGTCGCTAAATGAAACTATGACTGTGCTATTTTCAGCTTTCCTTTGCTTTACAGACCTGGATTGCTTGTAAAGTTACTTTTTCATCACCGCTGTAACTGCGGTCACTAAATGAGGAAGTTCTAAATGAGGACTACCTGTACTATCCATTTCAAAAGTAATACAGTAGCCTTCAGATGCCATGTTCTTGTAATACATTGTATCTATAAAATGTCATTTTTTCTTGTTGACTTACCATTACCTATCCAATGTTAGGCAATTTTAATCAGGATAAAACTATAATATCTTTTAAATGAAAAAAATTATTCATGAATAAGTTTACCTGAAACAGTATGCCAGATGTTGGTTTCACTCTTTGCTGGAATAGCACATTTAGTGTTTGGTTTTGTTGTTCCAGGTCAAAGACTCTTGTTTTCAATTTCAAGCATTCCTCTCTCAGATCCTAGAGCAGGAAGGGAAAGGACATGAATAATAAGATAACAACACATGACCCAAAAAATTATGTGAATACTAGAATACACTTGATATAAGATCTAATCTATATACTTAAATATAGTTTCAGCACTAGTATCTCTAAAAAAGTGTTTAAAAGATTACCTTCTGAAGGTGAGATAAATGTTTTAGACTTGTAGTTAAAAAGTTAATAGTATATTTCTTTACTCATCTATCCTAGAAGTAATCCCAACTATTCAAGGATATTTTTTCCAGGTGAGTGTACAAAAACTATTCTGATGAATTCTGCTATGTCTGTATTCACAAGAATAAATACAACAATAAATAAAATATAAATTATTATATGCTAAATTGTTACTTCCCCATAAAGAACAGGGCTCTAGAAGCACTCTTATATAGTGCTGGGTGTTGGAGAAAGATGAATTGAGCAAGTTTATATTTCATCCAAAGTAAAAATGGGAAAAGCAAACCAATGCCACGTGAAAAGAAGATAAAAGCTACCCTGAGCAGGGGTAGCTATATTTGACATGAGTATATTACACAGTTTCTCTCAACCTCTGCCTTATAAATCCGCCAGCACTGGCATTATATCTATCCCTTCTCCACTGATATCTCCCTGTGAAACTTTAAATCTGCAGTGAGGTGCATTAGTTCTCTTAATATTCCAATGAAATTTGAAAAATTACAGTCCACAAAAGCCCAGCTATTGTGGAGATATACAAGCAAGTCACTGAATCAATTTGTCTACTTTTTT